TTCCGTCCTAATTTTGACTTTTATTTTGTCTTATAATTTGTGCCTAACAGTATTATGATGTTATATGCACTTACATTTTATTTTTATTATGACGTGACAAATAAAGAAAGATCTTATTCATTCAGTAGCCATTTTGTAATCTTTTTACACAATTTTTACTCATCGAATACAGTAAAATCTTGCATATTTTCTTGTGGCAATTCTGAATTAGACTTATGGTTTTAATATATATTTATCATTCAATGTATTCAATGTATCTAATATAAAAGATATTAATTTTATTTGGATTTATGCTTGAAATAAGAAAGTTTTAACTTTGAAGTCTGTGAGCAAAACCTGCGGAAATGATAAACCTCTTTTCGAACGCTCCTTAAAACTAAATCCTCAAAATCGGTAAAAGCTATGAATCCAATTTTTGATGCTAGTACTTATCATATCAATCTCCAGCTTTCGCACTGTATATAATGTTAATTTTCTGAAAAAAAGGTAAAATCAACCTGCCCTCATGTATAAAGTTACTGCGATCTTTGCATAAGGGTCTAACACAGTTATTTTTTTATATTTTAAGGCCATGTTTTTTGTAGTTTACACAAATATTATGGCTAAAACCAGCTACATTTTTAATTTACCTGACATATGTATTCAGATAACGATTTGATTAATCATGAAAATTTAACTTGTTGCTTGCTTAAGGAAAACCATTTTGTGGAGTATGAAAAGTACTAAGTTATGTTTAAAGAGTTTTATCATCTTGAATCTGTATTTTTAAAAGTTCGTAGATTTTATACCAGAATAAGAACCAATCTACGCTCTAGAGCAGTGGTTCCCAAACGGTGAGGAGCGCTTCATAGATGCGGCGGAAGAGGATAGCAGGTGAGGCGGAAGAGGATAGCAGGTGGGGCGGAATGATTGAAAGACAATCAAAGATTTAGAAATAGTTTCAAAAAATTCATATGCCAAAAATAAATATGATTTCAAAATTTTAAATATTATTTTGAATTACTTGCAATTGCATGCATGAGTCCCAGTATAAATAGTTATAGAAAATTATTGACTGATTTTATAATTATTCAAAAGCATTGTCCATTCTTCTACAGTTCTCTAAGACATATTGCTGCGAACAAGGATTTTCGGTTCTGACAAATACCAAAAACCAAAAATGGGAAAGGCTTTTATGTGTTGATGAAGCGATGGGAGATTTGTTTTTATCTCAAATTAGGCCTAATATAAAGGAGATTACTCGTCAAAAATAAGCCCATAATATTCATTAAATTTGTATGTTTTAATAATATAATTATCTGCGTCATATATTGTATTTTATGCACTATTAGTTGTTGTTTTTTTTTGTTGTTGTTTTTTTTATGTACTTTAAAATTTGGTGAGGCGCGAACAAATTTTCATTCTGTAAATGCGGTCGAGAAAAAAAATGAGAAGCACTGCTTTTGAGTAACCAAGAGGAAATTGGTCTTCATTGGGATATACTAATATATATATATATATATATATATATATATATATATATATATATATATAGAAATATAGTCTTAAGGTGTGCTATATTTATAGAATAAAGTGCTCAATATCAGAGATAGAGCGTGTGTAACAGCATATGTGGACTGACGATTGCATATAGCATGAAACAGACTGTCACCTCTAAGTGTTGACTTCTATGTTCACTTTTATATTTATTTATATATATATATATATATATATATATATATATATATATATATATATATATATATATATATATATATTTCATACTTCTGTTTGTATGTTTGTTTGCTTGCTTGCTTTATACGTTACTCGGCACTTGGACCTTGTCAGCTGAGACTTGTTATGCGACCTCCTTTAGCCCCGCGGAAGGTGTTACGCTACCCCCAGGCAGGCGGTCCGTAACCAGCCCGTGGATCAAGCGTAAATTTTAAACATTTTCTCAAAAAAAAAATGCCCCAAAATCTTGAATTTGATATTCTATGGACAAAGGGAAGATATTAGGCCACATATCGGCGTGCGCCCCACGACCAGCCCGTGTGAGATCTTTGTTTATTTTCTATTAAAACTTGTTCAGAAATTACAATATTGTATTTGAACAGTTAAACTGTCAGGTGTGCTATATTTTTGTGTCAATAAGTTTATAAAATGTTTACATTTTTATGCAATAGGTTATTTCATCCCGGGCAATGCCGGTTACTTATGTTAGTAAAATATATGGTTAATGAACGGGTTTGGATGTCTTCAGGATCATGTAGTATGATAGTTCTAATCTAAACTGAGATTTTGCTATTTTGCGGTATTCCTGACAAAAATGTTAAATATACGATGAGATTTTTTTCCTCTTTCGTCAAACAACAAACACGTTTGTTTTGATCGCATAGAAGGATTCTAAGACGCGATTGAAATCTTTTCTTTAACTACTTCTGCTTCTAATTATCCTCGTTGCCTACCGTGACGAGATGTCTGCATTTCATTTTATACATTTCCATATAAAGTCACGTATAAAAAGTGGTATCGGAAAGTTCCTAGACGATACATCCTGTAATTTTATCACTGAACGGAAACACGCACTCAGATCGGTAACCCAGCCTACTGAATCAGTCTGCCAACCTTACTTCGTGGTGTCTAGTTCTGTTGAATTAGCACGAGATGCGATGTAAGGCTGCGTTGGAACGGTTCTGCAATCTTGACGAAGGCTGACAAATTCGAGCAACTTTCTGTATGAATATTGTCAATCCGTCACATACGTAGCGTAAAAAAATATCAAAGTTATGGTTCCCTAAAACGGCGTAAAATAAATTGCCATTTTATATTTTTAAATGTTTTGTTTTTTAAAATGTTCTTTGCTTACAATAATTTAATATCACGTGGTTGACCGCGCATCGCAGGCAGTGGTCAATCCTTATTCAAAACAGCCTACATTGCATCCAGTGCAACCGGCCATTTAGGCTAAAAATGCCTATCAAGATGCCACATATGATTATCGGAGGTATTGCAAATCACGTAAATTGTAATAAACCTATATACATAGGTCTTATTGATTTTACACCGTTCAGCAAATAGCAGCAAATTATGTCGATTAAGTAAGGATTATCTCACCATTTTCCGTGAAGTTTGAAAAATCTGTTACTGAACTCATCGAATTTATTCATCAGTGAGTCTCTAATTTTATATTTATTTTTATTTTTGAGTAGTGCAAGCGTTTCAAAGACGGCCGGAATCTTGCTTGCATTTACAGAGCAGTGATTATCACAATTGCTTGATAATTATTGTTATGATTAGCCTGGCCAATGGACACACTGAATAAGAAAATGTCAGAATACAACTGATGGAGATCTGTCTATTCACAATATGCTAACTACCATTATTATTATTTTTTATTTTCTTTGATTTCTGGCGTTTACACATTTCTTTCCGGGTCCCGTCCAGGGACCTAAGGTTAGAAATGGCGACATGACATTTTCCACTGACAAAAAAAAAAAAAAAAAAGATTACATAGATAAAGCCCTTCGTAAGGTGTGGGCTGTACTTGTCAGAACAATTTTCTGTATCTCCTTGAGGCATGGACTTCCAGGTATCCCTTCAATTAGTCTACTGGAATCTTTTCCAACCAGTCCTAGGGCTCCAACTACAACAGGGATTGTTGATGTTCCCATATGCCACATTATTATTATTATTATTATTATTATTATTATTATTTTATTTCCTTTGATTTTTGCTGTGTACATGTTTCTTTCCGTGTCCCACTCAGAGACCTAAATTTAGAAATGACATCATGATATTTTCCACTGACCAATTAAAAAAAAAAAAAGAAACCACAAATAGATAAAGCCCTTCGTAAGGTGTGGGCTGTACTCGTGAGAACAATTTATTATATTTTTTTTTAGAACATTTTTTTTTTGTATTTTTAGAACATTTTTTGTATTTTTAGAACATTTTTTCTATTTTTAAAATAATTTTTTGTATTTTTAAAACATTTTTTGTATTTTTAGGACATTTTTTGTATTTTTAGAATATTGTTTTTTATTTTTAAAACAATTTTTTGTATTTCTAGAACATTTCTTTGTATTTTTAAAACATTTTTTGCATTTTTAGAACATTTTTTTGTATTTTTAGAACATGTTTTGTATTTTTAGAACATTTTTTGTATTTTTAAAACAATTTTTTGTATTTTTAAAACAATTTTTTTGAATATTGTTATTCACATACTGCTTTTACATGACAGTAAGTAAAAAAGAAAAATCAATATTGGCTTTCGAAAGAGTATTTCTTTCAGGAAAAGAGATGTCCATTTTTCTGAGATGAGCTATTATGTATTTTATTTACATGATTCGGACTATTGGCCTCATCTTTGTCGACATATTTATTACAAATTTTCGGCCGTGGTACGCTTCGGCCTTCTTCAGGTGGTTGGAATGTCGAACTGATCCCTTTATTTCGCTCACGGGGGTAGAATGTTCTAGTTCCTCGTGTCAGTTATCAGTTATCTCCTGTTAATTCCCCTCTCTAAGTTCTCAACTGCCATAATCGGGTATTGAACTCACACTCTTTGTCACTGGATCTAACCAACGCCTTTATCCACTCTGCCATGTGTTATGAACTAAACGTTGTAATAAATATGGCGACAAAGACGAGGACAATAGTCCGTATAATATAAATAATGTAGGAAATGAGATATTTGAAAAAATCCGGGCGCTACCAACAGACATGACTATAATTTTTGTTTTAAATTAAAAGAAAGCGCTTAATTTGAAAACCTTCTATTATTTGAAATATTTGATGAATAAATTAATCCCAAACTAAGGAGTCTAGCATCCTCCATAAAAAAACCTTGACTTTCAGTTAATCTGATCATTCTGCAATTAAAAAATTCGAAAAAAAATAACGGAATTTTAATTTTTCTTATAAATATTTGTTGCAAAATAAAATCGTTGCATTTGCTTTGATAAAGTCCAGCAGAGGACGAAATACGTCGGCAAAGGTTTTCCTTATGCCGTTGTTCACGGACATATCACATTGAAACACTACTTCCCGTACGATTACCGAAGTTAAGCGACGTCGAGCCGAGTCAGTAACTAGATGGGTGACTGATTGGGAATACCAGGTGCTATC